TGAGACGGGAGTCTTGCTCTGTCGGCAGCTGGAGTGCAGTGGCGGTGATCTCGGCTCACTGCAAGCTCCGCCTCGCGGGTTCACGCCATTCTCCTGCCTCAGCCTCTTGAGTAGCTGGGACTAATTTTTTGTATTTTTAGTAGAGGACGGGTTTCACGTGTCTCGATCTCCTGACCTTGTTGATCCGCCCGCCCTCGGCCTTCCCAGTTGCTGGGATTACAGGCGTGAGCCACCGCGCCGGCTGGGAATTGATATTTATTAAATGCCTTTCTATGGACATTAGGCACTATAATAGTTTTTTGTTCATTATTTAATATCCACCACAAACTGTGGGGTTGATTTTTTTTTAAGACCGGGTTCGTCGCCAGGTGGTGGTTGGCTCATGCCTGTAATCCTGGGCACTTTGGGGGCAAGTAGTCGGATCACGACGGTCAGGGATCAAAGACCATCCTGGTCAACATGGGTGAACCCCGTCTTCCAATGACAAATCCAAAATTAGGCTGAGATAGCGGGGGTGTGGCCTATAATCCCAGTACTCAGGAGCTTGAGGCAGGAGAATCGCTTGACACCTGGGAGGGTGAGATTGTGTGAGCTGGATCGCGCCACCTGCACTCCGGCCTGGCAAACAGAGCTAGATTCCATCTGGAAGGGCGGGGAGAGAAGACAGGTCTCACTCCGTTGCCGGGCTGGAGTCCAGTGGTAAATTCATGGTCCACGCCGGCTCAAACTTCTGCCCAAGTGTGAGCCACTGCACCCAGCCTAGGCTACACTTTTTAAACCACGCCCACAACTCTTATTCCCTGTAGTTGGATGGGGTCTTGTGACTACTTCTGGTCAGCATATTATGAGAAGTGACAGGGAGAGGCAGGGCATTTACTAACCAATATGAAATCCTTCAGATCTCTTTTCCTTCTGGCATAGTGGCTAGCAATCTTTCAGGTGATGGTTGCTCTCTCTCTGGTCCCCTAACAACTAAGACGACCTACTGGATAGACGTAGTGTATTTTCTTGGTGTTTTTGTTTTGTTTTGTTTTGTTTTGAGTCAGAGTCTCACTCTGTCACCCAGGCTCGGCTCACTGCAACCTCTGCCTCCTGGGTTCAAGCGATTCTCCTGTCTCAGACTCCTGAATAGCTGGGACTACAGGCACCCACCACTACGCCCAGCTTTTTTGTATTTTTAGTAGAGACAGGGTTTCACCATGTTGGTCAGGCTGGTCTTGAACCCCTGACCACAGGTGATTCACCCGCCTCGACCTCCCAAAGTGCTAGAATTACACGCGTGAGCCACCGCGCCCAGCCACACAGTGTTTTTAAAGCCACTGAGATCTTGCATTGTTTATTACCACAGCATAATTTGGCTTATCCAAGCTGCCACGAGTAGACACCAGAAGTGGGGTGCTGCCTTACCAAAAAGCCTAAAATATATGACAAAGCCTTAGGAGCTGGGTGGAAGGAGGCAAGGAACGTTATTGGAGGCTAAAAGATCAGCAACTTGTATTATACAGTGGTGAAATGATCAGTGAAATTATCAGCTATCCCAGAAGGTAGATAATATACCACAAGAGCTAACAGCTCTAGTGGGAAAATGGACTATTACAAGTGTGTTGTATTGTAACACTGTTAGTTGTATTTAACAAATTATCACATGAAAAGGATGAATGCAGAAAATAATGATCAATTTATAATCAAGAATAAAATAAATAAAGAAAGTCAGGGATTTGCAGAGGAAGAGGCAAGTGCTTAATGTAAAACTGAAATCTTTGAGCTACAAAGCCTGTATAGAATTCAGTCTTGAGGCAAAGATCAAATCAAATATTTGGCTTTCACAATCACTGATTAAGATGGTACTCAATAAAATAGCTTTTTAAAAGAGACTAAAGATGAGTTCTGCTACAAAGCATATTTCTCTAATGTGAATTAATTCAAATGCTATTAGTAAATAGGGAAATGATAGCAGAATAACTCAGAAGCAATGTTAGTTTATACAAGATTTTCTCAAGTTAAATGTCTGAAGTGATCAGGAGCAAGCTTTCTCAAAATTACAGAGAAAGCAAGCCTTAGCAATACACGAAGACCTCAAGAAAAAAGCTAAACACTCTACTTCTGTATCTTCCTTTAATGCAAGCAATGGTTCATTCAGTGACTTCATGAATAAAACTCTTTCCACTTTATACCTGATGAAGCTGAG